GCAGGGGGGAGCAAAGAAGGGCATCCCAAAAGGTGGCTCATGGCTCAGCCTTTTGAGGGACCCATGGCCGTGTCACCCCCGCCAGGGGAGGGGTCTCAGAAGGGTCAGGCTGAGGGACTGCTGCACTCGCCTGGGCACCGGCGGGCACCTCCAGGGACCTGTGGTTGGGCACAGCTGGGACAAAGGGGTCAGACTGTGGCAGGCACTGCCCTGTGCTCCAGCCTGTCTCAGGCACTCGTGTGTGCAGGCAGCTGTGGTGGCGTGAGCTCCCCATGCAGCCCAGGGCACGCAGCAGCCTCTGCCCTGGGTGCTGTTGGTCTCCACAGGTGAAGGTGGCCAGGCTGGAGATTAGTCACTCCAGCCCCTGCCCAGGACCACAGGAGACATTCAGAGCAGTGAAGGAGCGGAGAAGATGGGGAGGATGACCCCAGCTCAGTGCTGAAGGCTGCTGGGCCCCCTGGCTCTCCTGTGACCGCGACCAGCACTGGGGGTCCCATCCAATTCAGCAGAGCAAGAGGAAAACAGGAGGCCTATGAGGGTTGTGAGCTTTTTCTTTCCTCACCCCCTTCACCTCCAAGCTTTCACTTACTGCTGTTTTAAGGCCTTTGAATGCGACCTTCTGTAGTTCCTTTTTTTGGATTTGCTTTCATTTTTGCTTTCCTGGAAGCAGGAGCTGTTTGCCAGATTTCCCAACCCCTGACTCACACAGGCTCAGGCTGAGGGATGGTCCATGCTCCTGCCATGTTCTGGGTTCCCAACCCCATTCCCCGCCCCCCCATCTGCTGATACTCAGCCAAACCCAGGGCTCTGCTGGAGCTTGGCCTTACTGGGCTGCCTTTGTGACTCTGCCTGCTCTGTCTGGACAACCAATAAAGGCTTGTGGTTTGGAAGGGGCTGCCTGCCCCACTACAGCTCCTGCCTTGTCCCCTCATTGCTCTTGTGGGGTCACATCCCCCTGCAAGGAGCTAACTGCACCTTGTTGGGGGGAGGCCATGAGCAGGGCTGCTGTGACCCTGTGTCCCCGAGTGGTGCCTGACAGCCTTTCCGACCCCCAGGGCTGTGCTGGGCAGCTCTCACGTGAATTTGGATGGGGTGCGTGATGGGAATCAGTGAAGGGTGATGTCCCTCAATGCACATCTTGGGCAGGAGTGTGTTCTGTGCCCATGCTGTGGCCAGAACTGAGGGACCTGTGTGCTCTCAGCTCCTTTGCAGCCCCTGTGCCAGGTCAAACCTGGAAGAGAAGTGAAGATCAGAGGTCAGCACCACCATGGCCAGCACAGTCTTCATTGGTGAGACACAGAACAGAGCCATGGGATCAGTCCTGGCTCTGAGGCCTGCTGCCCTTGAGCAGCAAAGGCAGAACCAGTCTCCGTGGTGCAGCAGCCCCTGCCAGAACCACATCCAGGATATCTAAGTTGAGCCACTACAAGCTGGGATTGCCATGGTGGAGCCAGACAGGCTGGTGAGGGAGCCTCTCTGGGGCTGGCAAGGCTGTGTGACCTGGATCAGCATCAGGAAGATGGAGCTCCAGGAAGGGATTGTGTGGGGTAGGAGGGACCAGGCTAGCCCTACAGGACTGTGGATTGTCCCTCCTTTGGCTCTTGTTGGCCTTGGGCTTCATGCTTCTCCCAAAGCAGGACAGATAGCCTGTGCTCCTGAGCCCCGTGGATGCTACAGCGGTTAGATGCTCCCCTGGCAAAACACAGTTCGGCTGTTGGTGGAGCTACCCCACTTTCCGTGGGACTGACTGAAGGGACAAGGGAGCCTGGATGGGACAGCTGGTTCTCTTCATCCCTCCACAGACAGGTCAAGTCCTGGTCCCTCTGCTCTGGTTTGCATACTCGGGCTGTGATTCCAGGTAAGTTCCTGCGCAAACTCTGGGCAAAGGGTCAGGTTCCCGCTTCAAAGCCTGACCACAATTTGGAGACAGTCCAGCTGGGGCTCTCCAGCCGCAGAGGACCTTTGGGGTGGTTTTTCAGGGGAGTAAAGCATCTTGGGGCTGTGCACACCCCTCTTGACTCCTCTGGTTTCCACTGTTACTGATGGAAGGCTGTCAAGAGAGTCAAAGTCCTGGCCAGAGATGGGCTGTGGCCATGCCTCTACTTGAAATTGCCATAGGTTTCAAATGAATTCAAGTAACTGAGGGCTAGTTCGTAGCAGAGCCCATACTGCTCCTGTGGACAGAAGGATGCACGTGAGAACCTGGTACACCAACACCTGCAGTGGAAGGCCAGCCTTGGTTGCCAGCAGCTTCCCGAGAAAGCCAGGCACAGGTACAGCCCACTCTCCTCCTCCCAGTTGGAGCCCACCTTCCTCTGCTGAGGAATCACAGGCATGCGCTCCAGCAGCTGAGAGCTAGGCTATCCCAATGCTGGTGCCAGCTGGACTCGGGAGGAGAGCCAGCATCCATGGCATGAAGCTTCTGCTGCTCACTCCCATCCGGGGTGCTCATCCTATGATGGCCTCTAGCACCCAGACCGAGTGGTGAGGACAGGCACCTGAGCACCCACCAGTGCAGCCCCCCTGCTGAGCAAGCCAGGTGGACCAGAAAGGGGCAACTCAGCCCCCAGGATGCTTTGGTGCCCACTGGGTTCTGCAGAACCCGCCCTGGAGTGAGTGGTTATGTCCCAGCGGCAGAAAACAGGGTTTTCAGAGGTCTCATCTGCCCCTGCTACCCCCAGGATGATGTGAGCACATAGGTGCTAGGGCAGCTGCTGGGACAGCACAGGCTATGGCTCTTGCTCTGGTGTTGCCATCCTGGCTGGGTTTGAAGTCAGCACCTACCACATCTTTAATCAGCTGTCTCCGCCGCCTCTTCAGCATCCTTACAGCCTGGGATACATCCACCAGCCCCTCGCTTTGGATCTGCTCACACAGGAAACTAGCAGCACAGAAGATTCCGCTCCGGCTGGCACCATCCCTGTGGAGGAGAGCAAGGGCAGAGTCACTTGCCCCGGGATCACCTGGCAGTGCTGAGCCTCAGAGGTGTCCCACTAGCCAGGCAGGCTCTCAGGATGGCCGTGCCCACAGATCCTGCACCCCACCAGCCTCCACAGGGAAGCCTTCCTCCCTGAACACAGCTGAATTCATGTCCAATGTCACCCTTCACCTGAGCTGAGGATGTTACTCTGACCCAAGTTCACTGATGCAGCCTGGGCTGAGCCAGCTCTGTGCCATGGCTGCTCCTCCTAGAGACATCACTCACCAGCAGGTGACGAGGATATGTCCGTCTTGGCTCCGCCGATGGTGTGTCTCCACCTTCCCTAGCAGGCTGATGATGGTGGCAGGGTACGGGGGAAGACGCTGCTGCATGGGCCAGTCCTTCAGTTGCCAGAACTGGACTTCCAGTGCAGACTTCTTGGGCTAGCGGGGAAGAAAGGCAGTGGGTTGGGCAGAGAAGAAACCCATTGGCTTCATGGAGGGACAGCATGCGTCAGTCCTGGCTCAGCCATGCACACTGGATCAAGGGAACTGCTCCACAGTGGGATGGCCCAGTCCCAGACTCTGCCCTTCTCCACTGAGTGCTCTGAGACCAGCAGACAGAACACAAGACAAGAGCTGACCACCAGGTGCAGCTCAGACTGATGCCAGTCCAGCACCCAGCTACCTGTAATAGCTGTCCCCATCCATGAACCACCACCAAGATGCACAGAGTCTATCCATGGCTGCTGTTCTCCAAGTTAGAAAGGTATACAAATGTATACCTCTGCCTTGTACCTCTGCCTGCAGCCTCACCCTCTTGGGACTAACCTCTCTCCCAAGGCGAAAGGCCCTGCTCTGGCCAGTGCCCTTCCAGGACCCCATCAGATCCCTCTGACCATTGTGGCCTCTGCCACCCCTAGCTGTGACTTTGGCCCCAAATCAAAGCCTGCTGACGCGGGAGCCCAGCTGGTCCTCCCAGATCTTGCAAATGCTGTTCTCAAAGGGTTTCACCATCTCTGTCCGAAGAGCCCACCTGCTGCCTGTTGGTGAGGGCAAGTGTCCAGGCTGTGAAGCCAGCTCCGGGCTCCTCTGAGATCCAGTGGACATGGAAACGGCCGTAGGCAGCTTCACCCTGGGTGGGCCAGAACTCCACATATGTCTGGGGGGGAGACACGTGCGTGATCACACACAGCCCTGACCTGCAAGCGTGGCAGAGCTCAGCACCTCACACGGGTGTGCTCACACCAGTCCCTCGCCCATAAGCCACAGTGTGCCTGTGGGTGCTCTGCCTGCCATTTGCTGGGGACAAACCGGCAATGCCGCAGCCAGAAAAATAACACTCCTGCAGAGGGTACCACTCCTGGGCGGTGGTAAGCCAAACCCGAGGGATGTTCCCTTGCTGTGAGACTGGGGACACCCCACCACTGTAGGGCCATGGTGCTGGGACTGTCCCCACGGCTTTCCCGGGTGGAGCCCACAAGCTTGCAGTGGGCTCCTGCAGCAAGCAGGCTCTCGTGAGAAAGAGCTGCGTGGGGGCAAAGGCAGAAAGCACACTGCCTGGCCTCACAGGGAGCTGGGAGACAGGAGGGCTGCGCGTGGGCTGCTGACCTTGTCCAGCTCCTGGAGCTGGTTCAGCACAACCACCGATGTGCAGGTGTAATCCCAGACCAGAGCCCAGAAATCCACCAGCGTGGTGGGGAAAGGCAGCTGGGTGATGATGAGTCTGTCCTCCTCAGTGTATGTCTGCAAAACACACCGGGGTGTTGGGGGAAGAGGTCACACAATCCACCCCCTGAGAGCCCTTCCAACAGCAGGAACAGCTCTCTGCCTCCCTCCAGCCAGGGCTCTGCAGGCCCAGGGGCAGAGCCCAAGGAGACGCAGGGCACCCCAGCCCTGCTCAGAGCAGGCTTGCACCCCGCTGCCCCCTCAGCTCATCACACCCGGGCTCTGCTCCCAGCAGGCAAAAGCCAGCGGCTGTGCGGCAGCCTGCTGAGCTGTCTGTGCAGGCAGGGCTTAGGCTGATCACGGGGGCCATCTCCTGGCAGCAGGGCCCCAGCTGCTGGGACATAGTCACTGTGAAGAAGCCCCAGGGCTGGGACACCTCAAAGCAGGGTGGCATGGTCTATTCCTGCCTTGAGCAGTGGTGCCCGGGGGGTCTCTTCTGCTCCTGCTGGGGCTAGAGCCTTACGTTGGCAAAGATGGCGTTGATGTAACCTGGCGAGCCATCTGCATTCAGCGAGGACATCAGGATCGGCCGGCAGGAATCCGCTGCGGAGGCAAGGAGCAGAGAGAGAACTGATGAGCCATCCTCTCCCTGCACAGATGCATGGGGCTTTCCCTGCAAGCAGTGGGGTCAGCATGGCTCCCTGCAGGACGGGCTGGAAAGGCTTGGATGAACAGGCACCACCAGCCCCATGGCCATGAGCGCTCAGGGCTGCCTGACACGCGATGTCCGAAACCCCATGTGTGGAGCCACAGAGGCACAGCAGGTCCACCCTTCTCATTGCTCCTTGATGCCTCACATGGGGTCCTCCTCTGGGACAGGTTAGACCCAGGGACATGTTTATCCCAGGTGTACCCCATGAATGCCTGCCTCCAGCAAGCCCAGAAGGAAGCAGGGACGGGTCTTGCTCCCATGGAGGGACCAGCCTAATCTATATTTATTACCAACCAGAAAATGACAATTGGACCTTGGGCAGAACCTGCCAGTGGCATGGTGCTGGGGAGGGAAGCAGCGGGGCAGCATCGTTCCCCCCATGCTGCTCTCAGGCGCTGGGTCGCAGAGCAAGGGGCTGCCCAACCAGTGTACCTGGCAGGATGCCTGGCTTGCGGTTCTTGGTCTGGTTGCTGGGTTTCTCCGCTTCTCTGTGTGGCAGGAGCTGGAACAACTCGGAAAACTTCTGCAAGGCCTGTAGGGATGATTCAGCCAAGCAAGTCCTGCCTGTCAGCTCCTCCCCTTCTTCAGCCACCCCAGAGAAATGCTCCCCTATTTCCATCCCACAGCTGGGGAGGGGAGCAGTAGAGGAGAGGCACCACAGACCAGCCCCTGCAGCACCAGACCCAGTGCACCAGATCCTGGTGGTACCTTGAACTCCTTCTCAAGGACATTGTTGTGCTTTGAGGTCTCAGCTTCTCGAAGGCAGCGGACATGGCTGGTGATGCTCTCCACTGGCACCCCGGTGCTGCCGCAGAGCAAGCCTTCGAGCAGCACCTCGTACAGGAAGGTGTACTGCTCCTGCATGAGGACACGGGTCAGCTGCACAGTCTGGAGCAGCTCCATGAGGAGTCCTGGTACTCCACATCACCAGCTCACTGGCATCAAACTGTGCCAGGAATGAGCCAGGTCCATCCTTCACCTTCCTGCTGTGGGGCCCTGAGGTCAGACACCTCTCAGTGCAGGCAGCCCTGCTCTGATAAACAGCCAGCAACTGCAACAACCCATACAAGACCACCTGTCTTCCTGTGGTTTAATGCTCCCTCTCAGACCAGACTCCTGCTCTGGGGAAGGAAACCCAGAAAACCAATGAACTAGTTAGTCCTACAAGCAGCTGGATGGTCCTGCCCAACCTAGTTTCCTTCAAAGTGTCCCAGCACTGAGCAGACCATAAGGATGTAGTCTCTCAGCCAGGACACTGCTGCCCAGAAGACACCACGAGGGCAGACATCCTGAAAGCCTGAAGGACATGTGGACTCTCATTCATGCTCCTTGCCTACAAGACAGCCCTTCTATACCAGGATGACCGGTGCATATGAATGCTGCTGGCACCTCAGAGGGTCTCAGGGGAATGTGGATCCCGATTAGGTTTGAACAGCATTGAAAACAAGATCCTGCAGTCTCCATCACCTGGCAGTTCCAGTCCCTGTGGCTAGACCATGAACAGCATGGCCAGCGTGGCTTTGCATGCCACATCCCTGGGAAGGCTGGGAAGCAGATCTGCAGCCTGACAGTGTGCAGGGAGCAGGTAACACTCCTCACCTTGGTCTGCACCATGCTGACCCGCTGCTCCCGCAGCCTCTGCACGCAGTGAAACACATCCACCTCCCCCTCGGCCTTCCCCATCTTCAGGAGGAAGTCCAGGGCAATGAAGGTACCTGTCCGCCCGATCCCTGCACTGAGGACACAGAAAATTGGGGGTCAGCACTGCCCTGGCCAGCCTTACCCCAGCGCCCAAGCGCTCCGAGCCCCGGTACCTGCAGTGTACCAGCACAGGTCCAGCAGGCGCTTCCAACACCCTCTTGTTCACCACCTCCACTAAGCACAGGAGCTGGGCAGGGTTTCTGGGGACGCCGTGGTCTGGCCACAGCAGGTAGTGAAACTGCTCCACCACTCTTGGGAGAGCACAGCCTGCCTGCAAAGAGGGAGACATGGCTGGGAGCAGGAACCAACCTGGAAACTTGTGTGAAGTAATTGCATGCCAACAAGAAGGGGAAGAGTGGAGGAAACCACTTCAGGAGGGCACCAGCACACAGTGGTTCCCCCAGCACCCCCACCACACTGACTGCTCCACTGCAGGTCATCAGACAGCAAAGGGTAAATTTACCCAGCATGCAGCCACACAAATTCACTTTGTTCTCTGCTTCCCCATGCTGTGAACAGTGAACTCAGAGCAGTAAATGTAGCTTGTGCCCCAGGGGAAAAAAAAAAATAATCACAGTGTAGTGTTTCCATAGTCATCAGAAAGCCCTGGTTTCCCCAAATAAGGTATTTCCTAAGGCTGGTACTGCACTGATGTGAGTGTAGTCACTTTTGTTACCAGCCCATCATGTATTTTTCCCTAAACATCACATTCACTTGGTCTGAACTAATGATCTGCTATGTCCCACCACCAGGTGCTCTTGGAGCTTTACCTTTCAGCTAGACTTTGCTCTGGGCAAGACAAGAAAAGACAAGAATATGCATAACTGCAATTTCTTTATATTGTACCTGTTTTCTCCTCCTTGCAGCTCCTTCAGTTTCTGCTTATAATCTGAGGTATAACTTCAGCAGAAGTACCCATCTTGAGAAATGTCATTATGTAAGTTATCTTAAACCATAAACTATCTGTTCAGATTTAGGAGCTGTAAGTGACCACGGAGCTTCGATGTGGACCCTCTGCAGATTGGCCCAGGTGACAGGCAGGCACCTGTCCCATCATTCTGGATGTACAGAGAAGCCATTTTATACCCTTTAACTGCTTTTATACCCTTTGTGATCACCTCATCCAAGCCCTCAAGGATGCACAATCTGCCCATGTGCATCATCAGTCCAGACTCAGCTGGGGTGATCACTGGAACTGACCAATTGCCTTTGCCTGGCACAGAAACCTGGGGCCGATGCCCTGGCATGGCATCCAGTGATAGCAACGCTGACCTGCCAGTGCTGGAGACCAGGCAGGGCTCCCCACAGAATCTCTTGGCTGACAGCTCCCACCAGCTGCTGAAACCCAAAAGTATCCTGCATCCCCATCTCAGCTACACGCCGGGCTTACCTTCTGCAGGCAGAATATGCGTGTGACAAGGCCCGTGGTGGTCCTGGTGTTGCTGAGTGTCACGGTGAAGTCCCCGTAGACCTGCTCCTGCTCTGGCCAATACTGCTCGCACTTGGTCTGTCAACAGCAGCGAGACTGCTAAGCACGAGCAAACTCATGAAGGGAGCATTGCAAGCCAGCAGTGGTCTGCAGCTACTCTCTGCCCTCATTGACAGCTGCCCTGGGAGCAAAGCAAAGCAAAGCAAAGCAAAGCAAAGCAAAGCAAAGCAAAGCAAAGCAGGCAAGATAGCCTGGGATCTGGGGAGGCCCAAGCTGAGCACAGGCTGAGATGGTTTCTCTACCTTGTTCTGCTCCACTAAGCTCGTCAGCATCACAATGACCGAGGTCTTCTCCTGCCAGACCATCTGCCAGAAATCCACCACCGTCCCAGGCAATGGGCCTTGGGGAGGAAGAGGAGAGGCCTGTGTCAGTGCGCAAGCCATGGGGGTGTAGCTGCTCCCAGGCACGGCTCAGACGTTCCCAGGCTATGAGCAGCCCTGGGCTTCCCTCTGCCTAGGGACTAACACTGCACAGCCTGGGCACAGCAGCACCTAGCAGGGTGTGCTGGACACCTTGGCTTCATCACCTGTGTTAGAAATTGGGACAAGAAAGTGGGAGGGCAGGTGAGCCCAGGGTGTGTCAGGGATTCACTGCTGCTTCAGGGGCTTCCCCATCCAGACCCTCAAGATGACCATGAGCTGCTCCCACATTTAGGTTCCTATTTCCTGAAGAGCATTTCTGCAGCTTTGCAAGGAGCCTGAGACTGCCTCACTGCATACTGCACAGAGCAGATTAACCCATCTTGGCTTTGCACCTTGGGAAGGAGCTTCCCTCTGAGTGCATTGAGTGCAGACGTGTCAGGCATTTGCAGGTTTGTCCCTGTCACGCCAGCTGCCAAAGGGAACAAACCAGGCTTGTGGATGGAAGGACCATGTCCACAGCCTGGGCAATGCAGGGACCAGCTCCAGCCAGCCACTGCCAAATTGCCACTGAGGCCTTCCATGCCCTGCAGCAGCCGTAACCACTGTCCAAGACAGAGGCCCAGGAGATACAGGGCCTTCGACTGAGCCATTAACAGGTCCTAGGCTGCTGTCCCAGTTCCCCACTCCCCAAAGTGCTCAGAGCAGGGGCTGGCATCTCCTGAGCGTGAGGGCTGGGAGCACCCACCTTGAGCTGCAATGAAGAAGTGTGGACTCCGGTAGCTCTGTGGGGGAGAGGTTCAAACAGCTCTGATCACACAGGTTAAACGTTTAACAGGGAATGAAATAAAGGACCCATCCCCACAGGCACCAGAGCCCAGAGCCCTTGGCACAGTGTGTCCCACAGCACCACTCCTGGCCAGAACAGAGAGTGGGTACCCAGGGGCTGCATCTCGGCTCCTGTCCCCTCCCTCAGGTCCCTTTTTCTTAGGATGAGAACTTCGCACAAACCCAGAGTACGCCGGGCAGCTTAGAGAGGACACAAGGAAAGTGACATTGCAAGATCTGCCAGCACATGAGGGCAGCAAGTGCTAGACCCTGGGGCCACCCATGTGAGTGGGACTGTCCTCACCCAGTGCAGCCAGGCACCTCTCCTACCCTGCCCAGGCACCTCTACTCTGCCCAGGGCAGCAATTCCTTGCTACCTACATCCATGTAACTGGCATTGATGTAGCCATTCCCCATGTCAGAGGGCTGCAGCACCACACGGCAGTGATCGTCTGAAAGAGAAGCGAGGTGGGAATAGGTGGACTGTCTCTTTGGGGCAGGAACGAAGTGACTGTTTAAGGAGGGGGATGTAATTTAGGAAAGCCTGGGACTGCCCGCTCCCTCCTCAGCTGCACTAAAGGGCTCAGGACAGGTTCAGAGGTAAAGAACAGCTAATGGGATGAAAGGTGACGTGGCACAGCAGGAAATACAATGTGGTTTTGGGGAAGACTGTTAATGCAATGGTCAAATGTCCACACCATGTGGGGCCCAGAGGAGCTTTAAGTTTTGATAGAAATTGGGTCACTCCCTCTGCTTTCCCACAAACAGCCACCTCTGGATGGGACATGGCAGTGTTGAGCAATGACTAACGGCAGGAACAGGAATACAATGATGAATGATTAAGCTTGCAGGGAGATTTGAGGAGCAGGACAAGAATTTTCCAACTGGATATGAAACAGTGGGGCCAACATGACGATTTTGGAAAATCCCTCTGGGTTTCAGTGGCCACAGAAGATGAGACGAGGAGCTCAGCATTGCTGAATAGCTGGAGGGGCACCTACACCAGCCCAGCACCCTGTACTGCCTAACCACCTCCAGGTGCCTGTGCCAACCCCTGGAGAGCTCTGCTTACATGGGATGATGCTCTTGTAGCGGTTCTTGCTCTGATTACACAGCTCCTTCCCAGCGTCACAGGGATGCAACAAAGTGGAGGACAGTTGCTGCAGAGGAAGAAGACAAGCCCACTCTGCATTGGCACGTGTTCTGGGGCTGGCCAAGGCCAACTGCATCGCACACCCAAGGAAGGGGTGAGTTTTGGGTGGACAGTGCAGCCAGGTGGGAAAACAAAGCTAAACCAGACCTCATACTCTCTCAGACGACCAGCACCATGCCTGTCGACTGATTCGTCCTCTGTCTGCTCTGCCTCTATTTCTGCCCTCTTAAATCTCTTCAGAGCCTCCAGCAGTTCATCTACCGGGATCCGTGTGTTCAGCTTGCACACATCTATGGAGACCACAAGGCCAGAAGTTTAGCATGCACCTGATGGCTGGCCCTGGAGCTCTGCAGCTGGGACTGAGCTGGCATTGCGGTGGTCAGGACCCCACCAAACCCTAGATTATCCCTCCCCACGCAGGTCCCTTTCTCCTGGGAAGTGACCCTTTCCCCAGGCCAGCCAGCTGTGATCCCCTTGTTCCTGTAAGGACCTTACAGAGCCTGTAAGCACCCTGCCTGTGCTTTTAACAGACAGCCTGTCCAGACAAGGCATGCAGGGCCTCTGCTCATACTGCACCTCCTCGACGTCTTCGCAGGGGGATAGTGCTACTGTTCTCCGAGGCTTTTGAACTGTTGTACTTTTGCCTGCAAAACAGCAAGTCAGGCCCATAGACCAACAGAAGAGAGAGACAGAGGAGAGGCTGTTGTCCAGGTAACTGCCATGCCTCCCACCTTGCTTTACCTCAGGGTCCAGTGGGCACTCCATGGCAGTGCAAGGTGCTGGATGCCTCACAGAGAGCAGGAGAGGTGAGGCACATACTGACCTGAAGAGCACGAAAAGTAGCAAAATCCCCAGTGCCAGGAGTGCAATGACCAGTGCTACTGTCATAACCACAGGCATCCTGCCCAGCCGAGGCACCGGCTCCTGCCCTGCAACCAGCACAGCCCAGACTCAGGCTCCCACACAGCCTGAACCAGGCATTGGGAGATCCCACAGGGGCATGGGGTGAAAAGCAGCTTCCCTCATCTCCCACCACAGGCTTCACATTGGAGAATAGCTAACAGAGCAGGCTAGAAGTAGGTGCTTGCTTGGTGTGATACGCTTCAGCGTGGTCCCTGTCTCCCTGACTGCCCCAGGCATGGCCATAGCCTGGTGAGGTATTTGCATTTCTGGGGTTGCACATGCACCAGGGGAGCACTAGGACTAAGATGCAATATGTGATGATGGCAGGGATGATGCACAGTGTCCAGCTGCCATCGGTGCTACACCTGCCCAAGTGGCCTGAGGTTGCCCAAGGCCCATCTACCATAGATAGCCTCAAGATCCAGAGAACTTCCATGACGATGGAAGTAGACAATGAGACCCCACTGCTCCTGTGCTCAGCTAGCAGCTCTCCACGGGAAGCGGCCAGGCTGGGAAAAGGGAGGATGCAGGAGAGACCCTCAGAAACAGGGAGCGAGGAGCCCACTTACCAACAGAGAAGCTGTAGCACACGCAGGTGAACTTCTCTGCCTGTTGGAGGAGACGGGAGGGAGAGATCAGGCCACTCCTGCCCCACTGCCCACCCTGGGGGCAAAGGCCTCCCACCCACAGCCACCAAATGCCCCACCTGTGGCCGAGGACCCCGGGGACACTGTCCTGTCAAGACGCCTGGGCTCTCGGCGCAGGCATCGGGAGCAAAGCCCATGCAGCACTGCCGCTCACCGTCGGTGGCCGGCCAAAACCCCACCGAGGAGCCTGGCCCCAGCTGGCAGCATCGCCAGGGCGCA